TCTGGAGGCTTAGGGGCCATCCTCACGGTGTAGAGATGAAGGCATCATGGTCCACTATGGAGGACCTCAACACTTCAACCTCTCACCCTAAACAGTCGAAACCCTAAAACCTAAACCCCGGATACCTAAATAACCAAAAACCCCAACGGAAAACCAAGAACTGAACAGCCTGCACGAAAACTGCAAAAGTAGAAGCCAGAAAATTTGGACGTCATTGTCCTCATGCCAATCCCAGCACCAAGCAAATCTAATCAATGTTCCCACTCTCTGGACTCACCCCCTCAACCCTAAACCCTACACCCTAAACCCTACCCCCCCTAAACCCTACCCACCCTGTAGCGACCAAGAAGCCCTCGCGGCCGAGCCCCATTGGCAAGTTCTTCTGGCCATCCCTGGCTTTTGGATATGGGGGTTTAAGGTTTACAGGATCCAAGGTAAGTTTTCTATTGATTTTGAGGGTTGTGTATGAGGGTTCTAAGATGTTAAAGGCGTCTTACATGAGGGTTTGGCGTATCCTTGGCTGTTGCAAAGGACCTCGTAAACGGGTTGCAGCTCCACTTACCACATAAGGATCCTACTTTTCTGGTTCTTGTGGTCCCGAAACCCTAAACCCTACACCGTGAACTCCTGAAACCCTAAATCCAAACTCCAAAATTCTAAACCCTGAATCCCAAGACCCGACACTCTAGAACCCTAAACTCAGGGTTGAGGATTCAGGGTTTAGGGTGCAGCCGCTACACCTCTGTATTTGTCGTATATGTGCGACGAGAGTTTTTTCGAACCGCCCAGGGAGGACCTGATGTATGCCGGAGGCGTAGGGCAATAATATAGAGGCCTTAACACTTAGAATAGGGTGTGGGGGGGTATATTCTACTATATTCATACTAGGGATCCCCAAAAATGGCATAAGTAATTATGAAGGCCACTATATTATGAATCCTTCAGGATCGCCAGGCAGTACTTGCAGCAAGACTTGCACCTCAACCCCTTTGAAGCAACAATGCTCCATCATGAAGTAGGTTCCCAGAGTGATATTGCTACCTAAATTCTTCCCAAAACCTATATGAACACCAAACACATCCCACAACTAAATTCGCATAAACCTGCAGAAACACCAACAACAGCCAAATCCCACAACTAAATCTCCGATCCCCATTTTACCCACTACCCTAAACCTTTAAAAAAGCGGACCCCTGTTTCACTGAAGCCCTAAACTCAAATCTAAACCTTACCTTATTGCACCAACTCTCCAGGGCCCCGAGCATCTGCGTGCCCAGCTGTGCCTGACCCTCATCGAAGCCTGCATGGGTTTAGGCGTTTACAATTTTAGTGTTTTAGCGGTTTAGGGCTTTAGGAATTTAGGGTTTGGGATTAAGGGGTTTTAGAGTGTAGGGTTCAGGATTTAAGTGGTTTTAGGGTCGAGGGTTTAGGGTTTGAGGGTTTGGAGTTTCAGGGTTTAGGGTTTTAGGGTTCAGGGTTCAGTGTTTAGAGTTTTTGGAGGGCCTCAGGAAGTGTCGGGTGTGGGGGAGCCGCGAACGTGGAAAAGGGGTTCTGTAAGAGTCTGGAGGCTTAGGGGCCATCCTCACGGTGTAGAGATGAAGGCATCATGGTCCACTATGGAGGACCTCAACACTTCAACCTCTCACCCTAAACAGTCGAAACCCTAAAACCTAAACCCCGGATACCTAAATGACCAAAAACCCCAACGGAAAACCAAGAACAGAACAGCCTGCACGAAAACTGCAAAAGTAGAAGCCAGAAAATTTGGCCGTCATTGTCCTCATGCCAACCCCAGCACCAAGCAAACTTAATCCATGTTCCCACTCTCTGGGGCTCACCCCCTAAACCCTAGACCCTACACCCTAAATCCTACCCCCCCTAAACCCTACCCACCCTGTAGCGACCAAGAAGCCCTCGCGGCCGAGCCCCACTGGCAAGTTCTTCTGGCCATCCCTGGCTTTTGGATATGGGGGTTTAAGGTTTACAGGATCCAAGGCAAGTTTTCTATTGATTTTGAGGGTTGTGTATGAGGGTTCTAAGATGTTAAAGGCGTCTTACATGAGGGTTTGGGGTATCCTTGGCTGTTGCAAAGGACCTCGTAAACGGGTTGCAGCTCCACTTACCACATAAGGATCCTGCTTTTCAGGTTCTTGTGGTCCCGATACCCTAAACCCCAAACCCCTAAACCCAGCCCCGAACCCCTAAACTCGAAGGTTGTAATTTAGGCACACAGCGGCCCCGTGGTGATGCAACTCCGGAGCCCTCAGAGTGGAAGGCATGGGGCTTTCAGGTCTAAGGGTTCAAGGTCTAGAGCTTAATGTAGGAACCTGATTAAGCAACCTTGGGCCTTTATCGGGGTTCCTACACGAATACTATTTTGGGTTATAGGCCCAGGGTTTCTTAATCAGGTTCCTACATCAGGGTTTATGGCTTGGGATTTAGGGGTTAGGGTTTAGGGTTTAGGCTCTAGGGTTCAAGGCTTCGGGTTTAGGGTTCCGGGTTGATAGGCTTCGCGCAAACTTCATGTTGTAGGGTTCAAGGTAGCCGTCGACATCAGAGTTGGGCTTTGGCTGCGTTCTCTAACGTAATCATCTGGGGACTAGTACGGGGCAATGCAGGCATGGAGGGTCCAGCTAGCGCGCAAACGTGGCCTCTGTGCGGATGTCGGCGGTCTTTGCGCCTCAAGTCAAGGACACGAATACTGATCCGCCAAACAGCAGCTAGCAGCTCGATTAGAACATGTGTTCATTGCTATCTCGCCGCAATGGAGTGGAGCTGTCTGGTTCAGGAGGACATTGATATTTATAGACAAACGTTACCGAACCTGAAAATGCGGACATTTGGTGTGTATTTGGTGTAGCAGTACACCAGATTGCAGGAAGTAGGAAAAGTGAGCAGGGCCAATGGTGCATCCCTCAGGGAGCCATACGAACATATTGCATATGATGCTTCTATAGACACAACGGTTAAAGACCCCATTATTGTTGCAGTGCTTTTCTGATTCTGGCTGCTATGGCCGTAGCTAAGACGGTACGGCGCTAGCCCAGAACCTTAGAACATGGCAGACAATTGATTTGCTGAGCTTGCGACCTGTCCAGAAGCCACCTGACTGGAGAAGACAATTCGGATTCTTTAGGTCCAACTCTAACCTCCAGAACAGAGCGTATACGACGCGTTTGTGAATATGCCGTGCATGAATCCCCAGAAGGGTTCAGGATTAAGTGAGGCGGGTGTGGTCTTCGAAACGCGACGCATGGAAAGACAGGTTGCTGACCCTAAACCTTGAACATCCTTCAACCCTCAACCCTGCACCCTCACATGTCGGACGGCCAACCTTTAAAATTGACCCACCCAACTTAACGGATTCCGGTTCTTGGTCTTGGTTTAGCTAATGCAGGAACCCGGATTAAGACCCAGCCCTGCAACCCCTATATAGTAGGACCCATATACAAAATCTTAATAAAGATCCAGGATTTCTTAAACAGGTACCTATACTAGAAGAGCACTAAAAATTACCTCTACTATGTTGGTGCTTCCTGATCATAATTACAATATAATGGGCCCCAAAACCTTGTCCATTTAGTAAGGTTCCTATACTACATGTCATGTATGCCTCTTGCTTGCTAATCCACACCAGACTTCGCAGACACGTCACCTCCCAAGAGTCGACTTCAAAACTTCCACTGGTACAATAACAGCCAAGAAAAAATGGTGCTGATGATAAATAATACGAGTAACTAATAAGAAAGATACAAGAAAAGTAACAATAGTCCAATTACTAACTAAAGAGCCGAATGTCCCGAAAGTGAATGACGAGCCGAGGCTAGATAGAAGCAACCTGCAAGTGAGTGGTTTGCAAGCCAGCAGAAGGGGTGCAAAGACCCCCAAACCTTGCTCTGACAGGTACCCAAGGTGTCCCCTTTCAGTCGACAAATTCACTGAAACCTCTAGCTTCTGCCTGTGCCCTCTGCACGGCCGAGGGTGCGCTTGGGGAGGGTGCCGAATCTCGAATCCATCATCTGCGAGCCATGGGACGCTCCGCGTGAATGGATCCTTCTTTTGCAGGAACATTGCCTGCAAGCACATGCTGCATCTGTCAACGAGCCCCTGACCTGAAACCCAAAACACAAACCCCATAGACCCCAACTCCTAAACCCCAAGCCCGGACCCCGAGACCCTAAAGCCCCAAAATCTTACAGCATAAGCTTATTTCATAGAATTCTGATTATGGCAGTCTAAGTCCAAGCGGTGAAAAAGCACCACGGCGATTATGGCGACCACGATGACCACGACCACTCGGACCACAGGGACGACCACAACAACCAAGACGAAAACGACAACCAGGAGACTGCGGGGAAACTACCTGTAGACTACCAAACGACCAGCAAGAGACAACCAGGAGACCACCCAGAGATCACCAGAACTCAACCAGGAGACCACTCATCAGGAGAAAAGCACCCAATCAACAACCAGGCTGTACACAGAGTACAAGCTTTGCTGTTCTGTTCCCACCTTTCTAGACTCGCCCACCCAGCGATGTGTGCCGATTTCGGTCTGTCGTGGCTCAAGATACCCTGAACTCTAAGCCCAACTATACACGAAACCCGCTAGCTCAAACAGGATTCCCGGAAAGTGAGCCCCACACCCGAACCCAATGGGCGACCTGCGACCGTCGGCGCAGCCCTTCCAGGCACCAACGCCCCAAGCTACCGGTCTGGATCCAACGAAAAGTGGCGGCGGTGTCCACGGGCTCAGCCATGGTTTGGGACTAGGGATCTGTCTACTATGGGCTTGGATTTGTGTAGCGCAGGCAATGCCTTTTCGGATGTGGGCGTGTGGGATCAGAACATATGGGTTTGGAATAAACCATGATCTGAGGATGACGGTGACTGCGATGATTGATTACGATGGCTGCAGGCTCCACAGCACTCAGTCCTCTTTCTCTTTGATGCGCACCGAGGTCGTTATCTGCCACAGCATGCCCATCCGCGAGGCAGACTTCAGCTACAGCTGCAGTACATGAGAACCCGAACTGCAGCCCGCAGGTCTGTGTTGGACTTCTCGAGACTTCGCAGCAGCTGTTGTGCCTCTGCATATGTCTGCGTGGGGTCCTCATCAGCCAGCCACAGCAGCTTCAGCCTCCAAAGCAATCCGGTTTTGTCGGAAATGCTCTCGTCCATCAACAGTTGGACCATAAGGTACGCCAACTTCTGCCGCTGGGGCTTGCACAGCGACCGCAGTACCAGGCCAAGCCCGCTGATGCAATTCTCTATCTTCGCCAGGTTGGCGGGTATGTTGGATATCACCAACTCTTCCATCAGATCGAGCATGGCTTCTGCTACAGGCTGCTGCACAAAAGGGAGGGAACCAAAAGCATGGTTGAAAACAAGGAGGTCGGCGGCGTAAGCAATGTCCGCATCCTCACTCCGACAGTGCCGAAGCAAGCTTTGGAGATTGTTGCCCACAATGCGGCGAACGTGACTTTCGGCAAAATGTGTCTGTCTCTTGGACGCCAGCTTCATACACCACCACCGACCTCAGAATGAGGCAGAGTCGGGAGTCGGGTAAAGCCGGTTCAACAGGCTGGTGCACTGTCAGACACATGGGTGTGAAGTAGGGTGTCGATCGGCGTAAACCCCGTGATACTCCTCACCACGATATTTGTCAAATATGTGTAATATGTACCGAAACGGAAAGGCTGAACACCGAATAGCTCGTCGTAAGGATGAGTCTTACTCGACCACTATGCGGGCCCAAGAAAAGCAAGTAGGGGGTGCCTCTGCACTACGAGCAAAGAAAACGAAAGTGTGTTTTGTTTTTCACACTCGCGAGTGTCGTAACTTGAGGCAAAACGTCCACATGTGCACCGTGCTTCAAGAACCTATACACGTCAGAACGTGGACTATCACTTCGCTAACAGTTTAAGGCACAAAGATAAGCTTCTTGCACTCAGTCTTGTCTTCGCCAAAGTGGCGACGCATGCCGTCCGTGGTCGAAGTGTGTGGGGATCGCTCAGAGTGTTTGTGATCCTTGTCGTCGGTGGTGATTCGTCCGCATTCTTCACTGAACTCGTTTTGGGGGCTGGATCCTTGGGGGTTGGATCCTGAGGCTTGGTTTTCACAAGATTCACAAAAATCAGAGGTCAGAGTGAACAAATCCATATAGCATACGGTACAACATGCTAGGTTTGTCCAGAAATAAGTAGAATTAATGAAGCTGGAGATTTACAGACACTGAAGATATTGAGAATACCATGAAAAAGTTCTTTTATATTTGTGGGAATGTACCACCAAACACTCACGTGCGCAAGAGGTGTGCAAAACATAGGTTTTGTATAACTAAGTATCCCGAAACAAAGCACCCCAACATTCATTTCAATATGTCCGCAATAAGGAGGCCTACATAATGTACATTCACGGAACTCTTACTTCAGACGCTGGCTGTGGTTCATGCTCAACAGGTCAGGAGGCACTCGTGGAACTTCTGCTGCTCGGCATCGCCATCAAACGCTGCTTCGAAGGATGTGCGAAACGTATCCGGGTTGCTTCCAATCGCTTCCATCTTTTCCACAAAGGCGAGAACTGCTTCTGGCCTGCACAGCACAACTTTTGCAGAATCCCGCGGTGCAACCGACAAAACCGCCTGGCCCCGTGACTTGCTTGATTGCACATGCGGGTGCCCGGAAGGAGGAAGGCAACGGCAGCAGGTACAGGTACGATGTGACTCCCGGATAATTTGCATCTGCAGACATGTCTATGTGTTGTGTTGCATGGAAGCAGCTTGAGGAATGCCGTTTGCTTCTTCTCAGTACAGTAGTGATCAGCTGTGGTACTCGCAACGGTGATGATTCATCAGTCCGTCCATTCTTGATGAAGGAAGAGATGCTGGCAGCTCCGGCGCAACGGGCGATACGTGCAGCTTGCAAAGCACGGTGTAGATGGATGGACGGTGTATGTCAAAAGTGCTGCTTGTATGCGACCCTTCCGCGCCTGTGCAGGCAGCCCATCTCGGCCACATGCTCCGTCAAGACCTTGTGGCAGCGCTTTCTCAACAATGGTCTCTAAGAAAGCAACACATGGAGGAATTGGGCTGCAGGCCTTGGGGCCTCTGGTGCGCCGCGAAAGCAGCCGCCAGTTCAGCAAATCCCGCACCTGTAGTCACTTACCGGGTCCGTGGGGTACGATGCCGCGAAGCCCACAGCTCTACAGTACGAAGTCCTGTCGCTCTTCTTCCGCATGCTTTTGCCAGGAAGGACCCTATCAGAAGCAGAAAAGAACCTTGACAACAACTTGAGCTTTGCCTCTTGAGCGGGAAGTGCCAAAAGACTGCCGCAGGCCCTCTGCACTCAAAGATCTTTGACATTGCAGACTACCGTGTTGAGTCTAGGCTTTGGGGTTTCGGGTTCAGAGCTATGGGATCTTTAAGGGCTCTTTGCGGGTCCTCCGACTCGTCACCAAGCGCTGCAACATCCTGTCCACAGCCCTGCCACCTGCCACTTTGCAACCAAGCCGCACTCAGGTAGGGCAACAGGTCCGGCCTGGGGCTGGGGGCTTGTTCGGCATGCAGGATGTGTTGGAGTCTGCCGCAAGCAACCGAAAGTCCATGCAAGCAGGCCGTTGACAGCCGAGGCACACGAAGAGGTCCCTTGGGGTGCACTCCCCTGTGCCAACCTCGATGCCTTCGATCGCCTTGGGTTGAATCTTCGGGCTGGAACTGCTAATTCAATCGTCCCGCGACAGCCCTCAAGCAAAGCAGCTGCTTCGGCTGATGTCATGGTCGAGGTCTCCGAGGACGGACCACCAACCTAGGCTCAGCTCGGTCGATCCGGTCTGCAGCATCGGTCCCTAGGAGTGTTTGGGGGAAGGGGCCGTGGCCTTGGGACAAGAGGCAGCGCAGTGATCGCCGTCCAGCAGGCAAGCTGCATTAACGTGCTTAGCGGCATCCTCTGGCTTCGCCAAGGCCTGAACTGGAAACCACATTCAAGCCCCACCGTTGCTGACACAGATCAATATACCCCAGTCACCTGCATGCCCATTTATCCGGCACTGGCCGGGGGGAGGGGCTGGGGCTAAAGCCACCTTTCGATAATCCAGATAGCCGTGGCCTAAGGAAAGTAGAATGAGGCCCCGGCCCAAATTGATTTTGTGGCTTCGCTTGAAGTCTTGTGGGGTAGCAAGAAAAGCTGCACGCCACCCCCCCCTCATGATTCAGAGCTGCTCAAGGAAACATAAGCTATCGCTTCAAAGAGGCTTGCGCCTTCTTCCTACTTCGGTCTGGGCTCCAAGCCTGCCGATCATCACGAAGCTGTCGCCCTTCGTCCTGTTCGGCGGCACGACATGCAAGTCTTCTGCTGCATCCGGAGGGCAACTTCAGCGCCCTCCATCACAACGGGCTGCTCTGATCATGGCTTGGATGGTCTTCTGCGCTGCTATGCAAAGCACTGCCGCCTGTTTGTCTAGACGGCCTTCCACAACGAAACTGATCCTAAACCACCCCGCCGTCCTCGGCGTGACACTGCAGCTCCACCTCGGGGCACCCACAAAAAAAAACACAAGCCGCCGTGGCCGCAGCTAAATCGCCTGTTTCTCAGCCCTCGGAGCCCGCCTCTGCGGACAGGAGGGTGCTGCTGTCGGTGGTGCCGCTGCTGTCACTGCCGGCGGAGGTGCTGCTACCGTTGCTGCCGGTGCTCAGCCTTGGCCTGGGCTCGTGCACACCATGCGAAGACAGATTGAGGGACGTCCCTAGCTCAGGCGCTATTGCTTTTGCGTGAGAGCCCGGCCTTCTGGGATTATCGTCTCGCGAGAGCACGGCAGCAGTTGGAGGCGCGCCCTCCGCTGCCACGGGATCCTGCGCACAAGCACAGCAAGTGCTGTTGCGTTTCCGTGGCTGTTGCTTGCAATTGCTTGCACTGCAGGCTTTCATGCTTGCGAATCCAAAAGCGCGGATCCCGTGTGCAGCAGGCTTGGGCATTCGAAGCGGGGAAGGCAGCACCTGATGCTCCTCAAACTCGGAGAGAACCTTCCACAACGAATCTGATCTTATAGCCACCCTACCGTCCTTGGCCACTCGCGGCATCATCTTCCGGCACCTGGGCTTATGCACAATGGACCACGCGAACTTAGCAGTGTGAGTCTCAGCTTGTACCAGAAGTGTTTCGGGAACCCGTCGCCGATGCGTTGCGAATTGCCTCTTGTTTTGCAATGCCCACGAGACAAGGTTGCGACTCTTGAAAGTGCAAAAATGGCTCTCCAGCACGCTTGCTTGCCTTCTTCTTCCAACAAGGATACAAGGGCAGTCAATCTGGCCTATTCCAAAAGAGTTGCTCGGGCCATCTCTGTCGCCCTCTCCATCTCTCTCCCTCTGTCTCTGAACAACTTTTCTCAGCACAGATGAGGGCTTTGGAATCACGAGTGCAATGATTACAGCAGACACACCGGGGAGCTTCCGAGCTCGCTTGCTGCTAGGACCGCATGCTTCCTGCCCTTGCAGACGATTTCAGAGACACCTCTCTCTGCAGCTGGGCATCTTCACGGTTGGCAGCGTCTCCACATCGCTAGCCAGAGCGTTACACCCAGCTTCCTGGCAGGCACTCACACATGTCAGAAACGTGAGATGAAGGAAATACCACAAAGCTATGTCATGCAAGTGAAGATGTATTCCTTGGCAACAAAAACAGTCCTCGTCGCACAGCAGAATTTGCTCGGAGGCAATCGCGCTAGCAGCGCTGCACTGGTTGCGCCTGAGTTCCAGCCGGGATTTCACCCGGCTCATGTGGGCAAATGGATTGCCACTTCCCTACGGTTTGAGCTTCTTTTTTGTGACATGTTCTCCAGGCAAGTTCTGCAAGCGGCGAAAGCAGAGCAAAGCCCAAACACCGTCTTTGGATTCATGCTACTACAAATGCACGTCAAGCCCATCAAGCGGCCTTTGTGCAAATGTATCCTGAAAGTCACTTCAGCCCCGTATTCTATCACAAGACAAGGGTTGCGCTGCACTGCAGAGGAGCCTCCCTGGCTCATGCCACATGCTTGTCTATCTGCCCGTGACGCTTGCAACCGGGGGCACGCATCTTGCCAATGGTGTTGTCCCATTTGGATAAGCCATTTTTGCAGTTGATGGCACTGCATGGAACAATCCTCCAGCTGTTGATTGGTGTGATGCAGCCTCAGATTTGATCAGCCAACCCTGCCAGACGAGCTGCAAGACCATGCCAACGGCACCAAGCCGCTGCTGCATCTGGCAGCGGTTCACAAACTTCAGCCCCTCGTTCTCTTGCCAAAGCTGGGCGTGCAGCGTCCTCCAGGCTGTGCATGTTGCCTGGAGCTGTTCCTGGATGCCAAGCCGCCTTGGATTTTTGCACCACTTGACTGCAAGATCGGAGAACAAACGCACACAGGTAGCTCAGGGCCCGGCTGATGCCTCTCCTGCTGAAGCCTGAGCACGCATACGCAAGCATGTGCCAAATCGAAGGGCTGGGCTTTGCAACATTATCTTCTCACCAACCTCCCCAACACTGCTTGGACTCGCAGCCAAGCCACTCGCACTGCAGCTGCTGGGCATGCTGCAGTAGCCATGCGTTGTTGCTCAGAACCGTGTACGCCATTGCTTCAAGCTGCTCTCGCCTTGGATGCTTGCGCCCGCTTGCTTGCACAGCCGGATCTCAAAGCGGAAGGAACCCTGCCCCGGCTTGGGGCCAGACTCGGGATTGCCATCACCGTCACTAACATCCTAGCAGGAAAAGCTCGAGACAAAGGGGTTTCCCCAAGCCGTCCAAGCCAGTGAGGGAGCAAAGGCACTCCCCCAAGATCAATTCGGCAGTCCTGAAAATCGCTCGGCTCACTCGCGCCCGCGTCAGTACTGGCATTCGTGATGCCACTCAAGCTGACCCTCTTCTTTCGTGGCCTCAGTGACCCAAGTGCTTGACTGCATACGTCCGGCATGCTTGCACCAAGGTACGGCAGCTTTTTGCGTGTCCGGTTTGGACGCCTGGCCGCATGCAATGAAAAGATGCACACTGCGAGCATCCAGCATGCTTGAATCAAGTTGCTTTCTGCGTTTGCCACTTGTCGGCGTGGTGAGCAAACCGTCTTCAAGCGTCTGCAGCTGCCCACGACACATGGCTGCAGGAAGGAGCCTCGCTGGCCCCGTCATGCTAAATCCGGAAATAAGTTGCACATTCATGCCTGCGCTGCGTGGCCCCTAGCCTGACTCTTTCCGCACACAGTATGCTGCAATTTGCTGACATGCAGGTGCGAACAGCCAACGACCTAAGAATCTGCACCGCAGTTACGACAATGTAACATGCAAGTCGCTAATTATGTCACCCGTGCCGGGTAAGTAGCGTCGCTGTGTTGCTCTTCGAGCCAAGCCTGGAATCCTGATACATTTTGGGCTGCTCTGCACAGGAGGCACAAGCATTGAAAGCAAAGATGCTCATGACCATCGATGGGCAGTTTGAGAAGACTCTGACTATGTGCAAAGAAGCCTTTTGCTCTCTCGGGCCCGTGTCGGCTCGATGGATCTTTCAGCGGCCTCTCAGGAAACACAAGCAAAAAGCACAGAGTGCGCAAAGCACACTCATGCAGCGCAAGCGACACTGTGCTGTGTAATGCAAAATCTTGACCTTCGCCATGGCTCTGCTGCTGCTGGCTGCTGCTCACGGCCGTTGTTCGTGGTTTCGAGGTGGTGCCCCGTACTAAGAAATACGATGTGTTAGTGGTTTCGAAGTGGTGCCTCAGTGCTAAGAAGTACGATTGAGTGGTGTCCCAGTGCTAAGAAATACGTTTTGTTGCCGTTATTTGGAGTGCTGCCCCAGTGCTAAGACGTACAAGGATGTTTCTGACGGAGTTTCCTGGCACCTCGCAGAGACGCCATTTCACTGCCTCGTAATCCTCCCCCAACAACCCAACCGCCCTCCCCCATCCCCTCCTCGGAGCCCTTCACAAACAACCTTTCCTCACTCCCCCCTTCCCTCCCCCTCCATTTGTGGCGACGCGAAGAACACACGCATTGCTGCCAAAGGCACTGCGCAGTGCCAGCGCACCGTTTCAGGGCTGTCGTTGGAGCGGCAGTATGTGGAAAAGCATTACAAACACGGAGCTTGAACTCTGCAAGCGGCGAAAGCGGAGCAAAGCCCAAACACAGTCTTTAGATTTTGGATTCATGCTGCTACAAATACACATCAAGCCCATCAAGAGGCGCTAATTGCCCCGTTGATTCCACGATGCGAGGCCGTTCCATTAACTGTTGCAGACCTCTCGGCTCCTTCGTGCAAATGTATCCTGGAAGTCACTTCAGCCCAGCCGCTCCTCTTCAAGGATCTCAATAGCAGACTGCAGGTCTTGCGCCTGCTCCTCAAGAACTTGGATTTCTTGGCTTCCCACTGCAGCCTCGAAATGCATGTCACACGCCCAGATAGACATGACACTCCCTGAACTTGACAAAGTCTCCGTTTCGAGCCAAGGCGCTCCATTTCGAGTTCCTGGGCTCGCTTTTGAGCATGCTCCAGCGTGTGCTCCACTTGTTGCCAGTCCACGTCACTGCACCTCAATCAACTGGTCAACTCGAAGCATAGCAGTTGTGGACGTGGTGAAGACGTCGCAAATGGCTCTGCAACCAAATACTGCTGCTGCACGCCCTCTGAAAACACAACCGAAAGGCAGCAGCTTCCCTTCCAGGCCTCCTCTACCCCTCACACACGTGCTACGGTGCTACACAGCACGGATCTGATCGGCGCAGTGTCAAGACTCAAGGTCGAGAGACCAGCGCACGTCGGCACAGGTCAAGAAGTTGGAAAGAGGATGAAAGCGCATGGATGGGAATTGCATGCCCAACGTCGGCCAGGTAAGGCGTGAGGGCATTCATCAGAGCAGACAACGTCTGCTACGGCTGACTGCAGATGCAGCGTTCTCGGCGCTGCGGAGCATACTGCTCTGCCCAGAGCGCTCCGGGCATCTCCATTCCGCAGGCACGATCATACCTTAAGTCACGTCTACATCCCAGACCCAGAAAGAGGTTGCATCGAATGCTGAGTACACGCAGAGTCGAAAAAGGAAGTGCAACCGAGGCTCGCAGCGTACATGTACTGGGCTCCGGTTTCATATCCCCAATCGCCAACGTGCCATTGCAGAAGAGGGCAAGAGGGGTTTGCTTCGGAGCTCAAAGTCGAGCGGACTGCTGTCCGTACGGGCATGTTCAAACCTCAATGGTGATGCCTGCCTAGCTGCGATGAAGTTGGGCAAAAATTGTATGTACCGTCAGTGTCCTGGTCGTGCTAGGCTTGACTTCGCCAAACATGCAGGACCCGCCAGCCTTGTGACGTGGCCAGTTACTAATATCACTTCGGCGAATGCAATTAGATTTAGATATGTGCAGCTGTAGGATGTGCTGTATCCCGAAGGATCCGAGCAAAGCTTGCCACAGAGCAACCGGCATGTTTTAATTGCGTGGGCTTACGGGACTAGTGTTGCAAGGTTGCTCATGCCGACCAGGGTTCAGTTGTCTCTCCGACCCTTCTACCGTCGAAGTGTTTGCAAGGTCTGCACCAAGCATGGAGAAGCATCGAACACACAAGCCTACATTGACGGGGGCATCGTGCTGCTGTCTTTGGCTCGGGGACACCACCAGCCATGTCGCCAGTCATTGGATTGGCGTGGTCGACAGTAATGATGACGATGATGCGATGACCGGTGGTCGCAATGACGACGACGAGCACCAACATCACCACTAACACCACTACCAACACCAACACCAACACCAACAACACCACGACCACCACCACCACTACCAACACCACTACCACTACCACCAAACCCTCCATCACAGCCGTGACAGCAGCAGCAGCAGCAACGGCAGCAATAACACTAACAGCAGCAGAGGCACCATCACCACCAAAAATAACAACAATTGCAATTGAAGGTTGCGCGAGCGGGCTTCACGCATGGCGGGCGTAGTACCCTACCAAGCGCACACCGGATGTGAAACTGACCTGGTGACCAACACATGTTTGAATCTGATGATCTGTGCTACTTGCTCTATGTGACCGATCCACGCACCTGCAATGGTGAGTGCGAGGCGTTGTGACTGAAGCTAACTGCATTGACAGGCACCGAATGGATTGGACTGACTGAAGTTTCCCAGGCTACCAGCTAGACACGACTTACTACCGGTAAGTCAACCCTGTGGGTCTTTTTCCATGGGGACTCGAGCCAAGCGGTGCGTCGCGTAACGGTATAGCTAAGGACCATAGAAATAGTATTGGAGGCAGGGTAAAATCTACACCCCCCTCGCCGTGCTGCTCAAGCTAAGGCGTACATCTACACTGGCTCCAGGTTGCAATGGGCTTCAAGGGATTGAGAAAGCTTACCAAAGCGAGCATATATAAAGCACGAAAGAGGAGCTGCGTGGGGATTTGATCCTGGTAATGTTCTCTGTTGCTCACCCCACAAAGAGCTGTGTTGACTGTTGGCGTGGTTGCCGTCTACAGACTGGATCACTGCTACTTCCACACACGCACTCCTATGCAGGCAGATCCAACGTTCGCTCGTTTTGTACACTCACGGCCGGCGGTGGATCGTCTGTGCACGGGATAGCTCTGTCCACTCGGAGAATCACAGAAGATTATAGCACTTTAGCTATGGGCAATGCTTTCTAGAGCTTGTTCTCATTCTTGAGCCAAACGTTGCATGGGCGGTCATACTGAAAGGATGGATAGGCATTGCGGTGTGCGTAGCACTACCACAAGCCTACTCCTAGAGACGAGGGACGCATGGCGTGCCCCCTTCCCTTGCACTTTACACGGTCTTGCTCACAGCTCTTATAGTGACACCTTAGAACTTGACAAGGCATCGCAGTCCGTTCGCAATCTTGGTAATGTTCTCTGTTGCTCACCCCACAAAGAGCTGTGTTGACTGTTGGCGTGGTTGCCGTCTACAGACTGGATCACTGCTACTTCCACACACGCACTCCTATGCAGGCAGATCCAACGTTCGCTCGTTTTGTACACTCACGGCCGGCGGTGGATCGTCTGTGCACGGGATAGCTCTGTCCACTCGGAGAATCACAGAAGATTATAGCACTTTAGCTATGGGCAATGCTTTCTAGAGCTTGTGCTCATTCTTGAGCCAAACGTTGCATGGGCGGTCATACTGAAAGGATGGATAGGCATTGCGGTGTGCGTAGCACTACCACAAGCCTACTCCTAGAGACGAGGGACGCGTGGCGTGCCCCCTTCCCTTGCACTTTACACGGTCTTGCTCACAGCTCTTATAGTGACACCTTAGAACTTGACAAGGCATCGCAGTCCGTTCGCACCCCCCATGAGTTGCGTCTCCGACGCTGCTCACCCGGAAGATGGCACGATAGGAATATCAGAAAATTTGTTCCGCCGCAACTTTGACATATAGATCAGAGCTTTTGCATCCCAATTAGAAACGTTGTGACACTCATCTACGTCGGTAACGATCCCCTGAAATGGCCAACGAATCAGGCGTCACCGAAGAAAGAAGCATTCGCGATGGAATTCCACGTGCGAAGCACAGAGGTCACAATTTTGAAGATGAGGTAGATCATGTGTTGTCTCACCGCCATCTTCGCGTTGACGTAGGATCGCGTTCCCAGGGCCGGAGGTTCTCCTCTGGATACTGGTTCCTCTGCTTTCCTTTGTCCTTGCCTTTGTTTCGGCCTTTGCCGGCGATGTAGTCGTGGTAGGAATTGGCGTTCCAACCTCCATGTTGCTCATCTCCGGTTCTCTCACGCCCTTTTGAAGGTCCCTTTGCCGAAGAAGCGCTTGCACGTTCCTCCGTAGTGACGGGCGTGTCCATGATGGAAGTACCACCCGGAGGGAGATACTCTTCGGCCGAAATGTGATGTAATGCTTCAGGACGTCGAGTATTCGGATTTTGCTGTCTTTCAACTCTAGGCTTGACCAATCTGTCCATGAAGTGCGCTGGCATTTGCACGTTGTGGTCCACCAGCAATCCAACGGTCTGGACGGAATAATCTGCATGAGTCAAGAGGATGCCGACCGGGTCGATGTACAGAAAGTCCACTGGTCCAGTTGGCGTGTTTCGTAGTACCGAGAATTGTTGATGTCCTGTCACCATCGAGATAACTTCACA